GTGAATTTCTGTTTCGCTCCCTAATATAAACATTCTCCCTTGGTCCATGTGTATGAAAAGCTTTTATTGAAATCATACAAATTAATAAAAATTATAAATTAAATTAAAATTTTTTAAAATAAATTAATGAGCGATTTATTTTTTTCTTTTTAATGTAATAAAAATATACTACAACCTTTTATATTTAAAAAAAAATTATAAAAGATTTTTATATATAAAAATGAAATGAGTATACATGCATATATATATATATATACACACCTAGTGGTGAAAAAAAGTCAAGCCCTCAACAGGAGCCTACAATTTGACTTACTTTAGGCTCAATCTAACTTATTTATTGATGTCAGACTCAGACCTTTAATTAGACCTATTTAATTAAATAGGTTAGTCTTATTTTTTTTAGAGTCTAGCCTACGAGCCCAACAAAACGATCTATTTACATACATATAGGTATAACTAATATATCACAAATACATCAATTGTTTTATACAAATACATCAAACTGATCTATTTAATTTTTAATTAATACATTTTTTTATTTTTAGTTATATTTTTAATTATATTAAATTTATATATTAATTTTAATACTATTATTTTATTGTTATTGTATTATAGTTGGTAAGTTCTTTTAATTATTATATATTATAATTAATAAATTGAGCTATATATTGCATACTATAATAGTCCAAAAATATATTTAAAATATTTAAAATTAAAATGAGAACCTATTTTAAAGGTTTACTTTTAAATAGTCTTTCAAACAAGCGAGATTTTAAATAAGCTCAAGCTTGAGTCGTGGAAAAAGCTTTATATAGATTTTAAACAAGGTTCAGGCTTTTGATTTACCATACAGGTTAGACCTATTTAGGTAAAGCCTAGTTCAATCGAACCTATTTTCACCCATATACACACCACTCTAGCCCTAGCGATTTTCACTCAAAATTAAGACATCTTATAATAATTAAAGTTTTTTTTAATTTTATTTTTTTATCAAATAATATCATTATTTAAAATTAAAAATAAATATATATTATTTTATAATATAAAAAATTAATTTTTTAAAATACATAAAATAATTGAGAGCATTCAATAATAAAAAACAAAGGGCAGTAGATATCAATGGTCACGTCTTATTTATCATTTAATCATATATTTTATCAAACGTTTAGTCATATTATCTATCACCTATGATAAATAGCAAATATTTTATATATTTTAAAGTTTTTAATGCAATAAATTATAGAGAAAATAGCTCAATGACTTAAAAATACAACTCTCATGAGTTATGAATAAGATTTTTAAATATTTAAAATATGGTCCATTTAAAAATTAATTAGATGTATTTTTTTATCCTCAGAATAAATTTATTATTAAAATAAAATATATTTGATTTAACTAATCTTTAGCTAATTGAATCTTTTATTTTTATCATAAAAAATCATATTGTGCGTGTGCCCTCCCTCTCTGATTTATCAACTCTGAATATTTTCTTCATTATGTTTTTGGATCTGATTTTTTTTATCATCATATTCATCTCTTATATAGTGGTTTTCTTCATCAAAATTTTGTATCTAATTTTTTTAGATTACCATCTTCATCATAGGGCTTTTCCTCTCTCTCTCTCTTCTTTGTTTTTCTCAAATATTATGAAGAGGACATTAGATATTAAAAAAATCTATTATAATTTGCGATACTATATCATTGATATACAGTTGTATATCAATGACAAATAAATTGGTAAGTTAAAATCACTAATATGGCTCATATATTAGTGATATATGATTTTATATCACTGATATACTATCGTAGATCAACATGACCGGACAATCAGATATAAACTTATGTATAATTATATATAGTCATATATCAATGATGTATATTATAGATCAATAATACAAAAAATATAATTATTTTCTCAAAACAGATCAAACAAAATCTTAAGAAATCCTCATTTGAACTCTAACTTTTGTAACAGAGTCTAATCGAACTTTCTTACCCTGGATCTGTAGTTTAGTGTGACTTTGTGTAGAAGCTGCAGTTTCAGACTTCCTCACCTTGCATTGGTGATTTTTCAACCTGAATCTATAGCTTTCAGTCTGCCTTACCTTGCATTCTTGTAGTCTACTAGTGAATCTTTAAGTTCGTTTATCCATCGGTGTAAGCTGTTCCGTTGTCTGTTGTTAATTTTTTTATTGTTGTGATCGAGAGTGCAATGTCATCTTCACATCTTCAGGTGGGTGAAAGCAAAACCAATGTGAAAAGGGAAATCAGATATTGTGATGTTAAAGGGTAGTTTTGTCTTTTGTATTAAAGATAAATTAGAAAATGATCATTATCTTAATTTAAGAAAAGGTGAGTTATTAGTTTTATTAAACTATATTATTGGTAAATTTGCTAAAACCTCAAAATTATATATATTAAATTAAATGAATTATCATCAGTCATATATCATATATATATATATATATCAAAATAAAATAAGCCTTGCAAAAGTTCGCCAATGCTAGCTTTATGAACAGTAACGATTCAAGCATTGGGCTCCGTGAAAGTCTGCCCTGTCAGCATCCTTCTATATAATATATAGTATATCTCAAGTAAACAGCCTCCACAAGCTTGAACTTGATTTCTTTCCATTTTTTAATAATAGTTTATGAAATATTAAATCTCAACCGTTCAAAAATAAATTTGACGGTTGAGATGGGATGTGAGAGGAGTGGAGAGAGAAAAAAGTGAAGAGAATTGGGTCCCACAAGCTTATGTTTTGCATTTCAAGATCTTTACATAGTACATGCCTCTTAATACCAGGGATATATGGTTAACCTATTTTTTTACTTATCTTAATAAATTTTTTATATATTTAATTTTGTTATTTTGTCATAATTTCATAATATTTGTTAATATTGTTAGGGATCACTGGATGCAATAACATTTTAAAAATATATTATCTTGATTTTCTTGATAAGAAAATAGGGAATCAATAAATTTATTAGGGTTGGTTAATATATAAGCATATAAAATAAGTATTTCATATACTTATTTATTTATTCAAATTTCAAAATGAGATATTTTTAACTTTTTTATTAGGGTGATTATGTTGTATTGCTCAAACATGAAACAAACAATTTCAAGATTTTCAAATTTCAACATGGCCTACACTTGAAATACAATAAAGGTAATTAATATAGTATTGAATTTAAATATTCATAGCTTTTTAATAAATTAATACATATTTATTGATTCTTTAATTTGTAGTGCTTGAGACAAAAGAAAAACAATTTGAATTGTAACTTTTGCCTAATAAGGTTCATGAACGATATTATTATCTATAATGAGAGCACAATTCTTAAGATGATATATCAACAATATTCACTTTTATAAATGCTAATGAATTTAATTATTTAATGAATTTATGGTAGATAATTTATACATTGCAGTACTGTGAGGATTCTTACATTGAAGAATTCAAAAAAGCCAACTAAATGGGGTAATTGAATAGTAGTGCTAGTACGTGTTTCAAGTATGGTAATTGCACAAAAACAAAATCAACAAAACTAGTGAAAGTAGGATTAATATTTATAGTTTTATAGTTTCCATTACTTGATATAAGTTGGTAAATTAATTTATTTTCGAAAACTCTATACATTGATTACTTGATATATTAGAATAAGAGATTTTTTTTGTTTCACTTTGCATTGATTACAATCCAATTCAATTATGGAATAAATGTTGAAACTTAGAATTGCTATATAATCATTTTTTTGTATAGCTGTTACAAGAAGGCTGCTATAAATAAAAACCCTCCTTAAGAAAAATCAATGAATAAATGAAGGTTATTACTTAACTGTCATTTATTCTTGAATAAATACATGTAAATTAAATAAAAAAATGATAAAAAATTTATTTAAATTATGTAAATGATAGATTGATCCCATAAAATGGTATAATTTTTTTGAAGTTCTATGAAATTTTTTTTCATTAGAAAATTAAAAGAAATGATTAAATTGATCTCAAATAAAATAAAAAATTTTGGAATTGTGAATAACTATTGAATTATTGTAAATGTATAAACAAAAGTTATTAATATGGAATAAAAGTTGTGAATGAAAAATTATAAATTTTTAACACATGATGCAAATCAAGACTTGTGAATAGCTTTTAAATTATTACGAATTTAAAAATAAAAGTTATTAATATATGAACAAAAGTTGTGAATGGAAAGTTGTAAATTTTTTTAATTTGAATAAAGGGTAAAAGTATCATTTCCTATAATTTCCCTAATTATAAAAATGTTCCTTGGAATTCAGAAGAATTATGCCATTTCATAGGATTAATTTATCATTTACATATTTTAAATGATTTTGTTTTGTCATTTTTCCAATTAAATAACCATCTTTTATAATCACAATAAATGATGGGTATTTAATCTACCCACATATATACTTTGGTATCCATTTGAGATGCCAAAATTTACTAAAGAAATAACCATCATTTATAACCACAATAAATGATGGGTATTTAATCTACCCACATATATACTTTGGTATCCATCTGAGATGCCAAAATTTACTAAAGAAAAAATAACTGGGAAATTAAATATCCTGCATTTATTATGACTATAAATGGCAGATATTTAATTAATTTACCGATCATTTATTTTGAAGATTTATTAATTATTCACCACCTTACAAAAAAAGTCAAAAAAAGTATAATTTTAAATGATGGGTTATTTAACCATCATTTATAAATAAAAATAAATAATGAGGATATAATTATTATTTATTTAAGGGATTTTAAATGATAGAATAATAAATAATAATTGAGAACCGTCATTTATAAGTAAAAAAAATGTCATTTATGCCTTGTAGTAGTGAAACTCTGTGTATTTGTATTATCATGAATTAAGAATAATTATATTTTTTTTTGTACGCAAATATATAAATATAAACGACCACTTGACAAATATTTCTCGGATGTAAGAATGAACTCATAAATCAACGGAATATAACAAGAAGATAAGTAATTATTCCCGGAAGTTCCACAATTGGAAGAGTAGTAAATAATACAATAGAATGTAATAAACTCGCCATCATGCCCAACTCAATGATCTAGATACTGGAATAAAATAAATAAGAAACAAGATCCGAACTCTTGTTCAACAATGAACAAATATTCTTGGATTAAAACCCAAGCCAAAACCCATATTGCCTGTCTCTCTCCCTCTCTCTATGTATATTTCTATATGCGTGCGAGCATCTGTGTGTATTACATTATGGGAGAATTATTATTTGTCTGTCGTCTAATTTACTCCATCCATGTGTGCGAAAGGAAGTGAGAGATTGGAGAAGAATGAAAACGGCGCCGTTTAGAAGGGAGAAGGAGCAGGAGCTGCCTGTAAATCGGCAGAAACGTCGGAAACAGGACCCGGGGCAGCTCCGGAGCTCATAAGCTCCACCATGGCACGACGAGGGTTAGTCCTCTGTCTCTCACACAGATCTGGTAAATATACTCCTGCATTATGTAACATTAAACAAATTCCTCATTACTTACTATGCCTTAATTGGATTTGAAGCCAAAAATTGTGTAACTAAGACGTAGAGGTATCTTGACCAGGCCAAGAAATAAGAATTGCCACGTGTTGAAGAAAAGGTGATCACGGTGGCATGCATAATACTGACTTTTTCTTTAGAGGTGGCCTTAATTATATCCTTAGAAGGAATCTGTAATGCAAGGCAAGAATGGAGAGGAATTAATGATACCTTCACCGGCGGCCAAGTTGAAGTAAAGATCAACAATGTTGGGGCAGTGGTCGTTACAAGGAGGAGCGCAGAGCTTGGCGGTGAAATGTGGATCGAGCAAGGCGTCCGATGAAATGCCCACAGATCGGCGATCAACGCCACAGGCCTTCACACACTGATCCCTCTCTATGTACTCCGACATGCCCTCCACCACCACCTCCGACGTCCGGCATTGGTACTCCACCCTCCCGGATTCCTCCTCCCTCTCCGTCTCCAACACGCATCTCTTCCCCGACGACGCTATCGAGAACGCGCACACCTCCTTCGGTAACTCCTCGCACACTATCTCGCCTGCTCCATTCAATTCCCAAAACCCTAGCCAGTTAGTGATCTAGACAATACATTACGTTACGTGTATCCACTTTCATGAATATGTATGGCAAGAACTGAAATAGTGAAATTGAGTCAGAGTTTAGAAGCATGTAGAGGTTGTTCTTACCTAGAGATGCATGAACGAAAAGGGATGAGAGGAAGAGAACGAAGCACAATCTCAATGAAGAAGCCATAGTGTAGTTATATGTGCAAATAGGATTTCAAGGTCTGAATTAAGAAGGACGAAATGGAAACGGTGCAAAAGGTCTGTATATATATAGTTTAAAAACACGTCCCGTCCCTTTAAATAGTGTTTTTCAAGACGCGTTTGGAGGACTCAAGAGTCGGCTGACTCTCTAACCACATTTACTTGGAACCCTATAATGAGTTTACATATAAAAATAATTAATAAGGTGCTTTTCTTCTTTAGGGTTGATTCGTTTACTTTCTTGGATGATACGAGTGTTTGATGATCGACGGAGGCCTATATATCGAAGACGTGTTTTGTTTGGTATTTATGAACTTTGAAGTTTTCAACAAAGTAGTGCTCCTATCGTGTGTTTGTTTTGCAAAATATTCGTTCATATCTACTCAACGCGTCCACACCTTTCTTGTCCAAGCAGCTAGCTAGCTAGCTTCGTCCTTTCTAGAAGTCTTCGGAGAGGAAGATGAAACTGTTTTATCATTTGCTTGTAGATATTTATATAGTTGCCGATGAATGCTTCAACTTCAATGAAAATGATCCATATATTACAACTGGAAAATGAAACCAAGCAGCCTATAATTGATAGTATCCATGACTATATACTATATAAAACATGCTTCGCGTTAAAGTTAGGAATAATATATTTCCTTTTTTTTTTAGCATATCATGATCGAGAGTATTCTTAGTTTTGGCCGACTTTATATTTTTCAAGACAATTTTAACTTGTGAGAATGTATAAATTAAAGTACTTTCAAAGGTTCACCTACAACTCTCAAAAAGGTACAATTTAAATTTGAAGTTAAGAGTAAAATTTTTTTATATGATCATCTGACAAAGTCTTCAAGCATTATTGGACCCAATTAGTAATAGCTTTATTAAAAACATTTTATATTTTTACATAAAATCAAACACAAGACTTCATGCTTAAGTAACCATAGCTTCTTCCACTATGACCAATGCTTGTTGTTAAATTAAGAGTAAAATTTCTTACAAAAAAAGATTAAGTTTAATTTGCCTACCAGCTCCCAGTCAAAAAGGTCTTGAGTTCAAGTTTTGAATAAGCAACGGCCATTATATTCACACACTCCTCAAAAAATTACCAGCAAGCTGTCGGCCCAGGTTAAAGATTTGGGATGCTCATAGATTACCAAAAAAAAAAAAAAAAAGATTGAATGTGGTTTATTCATGTGCGGTTTGAGTAATTAAGTTGTTAGAATTTTTTGTTTGTTGAGAACTGAGAATGGAGAGGTGGGAGATGACAGGTTACTGGCTAGAACAGTTAAGGATAAATTGGGCAGTGGCTGCAGTTGCGAAGAAGCTGACTTCTGAGCTTCAAAGAAAAGTCACATTGGAAAAACTCTCTTTAATAATTTTCGAATGAATTAAGGCATGCACGAAGGTTCTAGCGCTCGCCTTTTTGTTGGAATGTTTTTAAGACGTGTAGAGACAGCCACTTAATTATTTTTTATTTCGGTTGATTCTAAGGTCAATGACTTTCTTCTTTTAACTACCACGGGTCCTAATACATTGCATATAATCTAAGAAATTTAAATACCTCCATCATTCATAACTTATCAATAAATAGTGCAGCTTGTTAAAACTTTTATACCACACACACACACACACACACACATATAAATTCAGCTTTTTATTTTTGAACTTTGTCAATTTTGTTTCTAAACCTTAACAATTAATGCATAGTTGAGATATTTTTTGTGAAATTATTTTGTTGGTTAGATAATTTATTTTAATTAAAAACTAATTCTAATTACTTTGTATAAACTGTCATAAATCGTAATGTACATTTTTACATTCGCACAGGCAGAAGCTTGGAGAGAAATGAGAAATTTAAAAACTGATTAATTGACCAAAAAATCTTTCCCCTCCTTTAATTCATTGTGTAATGAGACGTCATGGTCGTTTTTTGTTTATTTATTTATCTTCAGTCACTAGCATCGGAACATGGGATACAAATGGATCACATCTTTTGCCCCCATAACACCAGTAGCCTGTAGTACATCAAAAGGAACGAGAAATGTTATGGAATAGTATGGGCCTCTTATCCCAATAAGAAATCTGTAGGCCCAATATTTTGTTTCCATGGATGGTTCAAAGTTGATGGGCTTTCAACATATACTATCATTTTTTGGGCCACATGAATTGTAAGGAAGTTTGGGTTCTGATTCTCTACAGTGATGAATTACAGTTTTAACTTTTACTAGTTTGAAGAAAAGGAAACCAATACTATTAAATCGGCCAGCTCATCCAACGAAAAAACGATGAATGAATCCCAGAGCCACTGATAGGAAGATTTAATGATTATAGTGGTCATCATCATCATCTATTTGCTGTTTCTTTAATAGAAGAGAAGTTTGATGTGATTATTGTTGGCTTCCTCAATTCAAAGCATAAGAATTGAAGAATAATGATGATCCACAGCCACAAGCATAATCCTAAAGAACAACAACACTGTTTTTCCAAGTACCTGGAAAGCAGAGGGACACATGGAGGATTGGTCCTCCCTGATCTCTCGCTGTCTCTTTTTAGTAAATATGCTTGAAAAAAGGAGTTTTTTTTTTTTTTTTTTGGGTGCAAAACTTGAACTGATCTATGATGGTGGAATTCCAAAAGGCTGTCCGCTGTCCCATGAAAAAAAGGAGTGTGTGAAAGAGAAAGATCAGAAAGGAAAGGTGGCAAAGAGAAGAGGAGCAAAGCCACTTTTATGTGGTGCAGCCGATTTATCTGCTCCCTTTTATTCTAAGACCACTCACCTTATATATCCACGAATCTTTTCTTTTTTGGCCAGAATATATATCCATGAATTCATTGTGTATGAGGGAGAGAAGGACTTTTGTGTTAAATTATGCAAATTAAATAAGAATTGTAGCCTCGTCAAGCAACATTAATATATTATTTTCAATATAAGTTCAAAGAAGCAAATAGTTGTGTCATCGGAATGACCTAACAAGCCCGTTATAATGAGATCACCAAAATCTCAATTAGTCAATTACTTTAATGTTAGCTTCTCTGTGTCTTGATTCTATTACAACCTTTGTCATTTATTTAATTAAAAACTGGTTGTCGCCAACTAATTAAGACTATATGACATAAAAATTTCTCTTGAATTGCTATTGTTACCCCACAAGAATCATTGAGTATGCATGACAGTTATAGAGGCACTTTTAACTTTAAGTTCTTTTTTGGTTGACAATATAGCATCTTTGCTTCTATAGATTTATACATACGTCATAAGATCAAGATTTCAAATGGATTGTCTTTCTATCAAACATGATAAAGTTGGATGAGTAAGTGAAAATCGACTTGGCACCTTAATTTTCATTCATTTGCTCCGCTGCAAAAGTTTGAGTATTATAAATCTCAATTCGACATGATCAGGTGAATCATGAGTTTTATATTAGGCCACCGTTAAAATCAATGGTGTAAAACGTATTTTCATTATTCACTGCACAAAAATTTAAATTTATTATATCAATATGAAACTTACTTATTGGAAGGTAATTAGAATATTTTCGGAATGTTTGTAACTATAAATAAAAGGGACAATAAATAACTAAATTAAAATAAGTCATTCCAATAGTTAAATCATAATTCCTATTGTTTTGTTTAATTAATTTGGTTCATGGTTTTAATCGTTTCTCTTTGTTTGCATTATTTAATTAAATATTAAACCCCTTCTTCAAACTATTTGTTTTTATGAAACAATAAGCACTCTTTTAAGTTTGATTCCTAAAATATTATAGAAATTATTATTATATCAATTCACTACTGTATGAAGTATTTTTTCACGTTGGTTATTTTAAACTTTTTATGTTAGTTAAAAATGAGTCATCAAACATTTTGTAGTTGAGAGTGAAATATTTCATGCCAGTCAGAATTTTCAACCGATGTTGAATGTTACTTTTCATGTCAGTTTTCACATAACCAACTTGAAAAGTCCTCTTTTTTTTCTTCCTAATGTCCAATTCATTTTCTAGTACATCTATAATATAAACCTATAAACTGTCAATAATATATCTAGCAAATAAGAACAACTAGCAACCAACAAAATCAATTAGATATACACATAACTAGCATAATATTTGTCTATTGTATCAAAAGTAATCAATCTAACTATTTTTTTCAACTAATTATAACTAACATGATTTTTTTTTTTCCATTGTATCTAATCTAATCAATATACATATATGTTCAATTAACAATTTGCAACCTCTCAAATTGAAAAGTGCTCTTGAAGAATTTGACGAGCCAATATTTCTCTCGAATACCATCAATCTTCTCGTCATTGTAGAGATCCAAATTATCAAAAATTTAAATATAAATTCAATCGAATTAATACTATAAGATGTTAAGTGAAAGAATTTAAATTAAAATTACCGAATCAAATAAATACCTTATGCTATTTCGTGGTACTTCCCACTTTAACTATCTCGTACGTGTAACGAATAATATAATATCCGCACTCTGTTTGTTCTAATTGCTTACAGCATTGAAAATAAATGAAAATTTTACATTAAGCCAACTTTGGGTAAATTTCATACATGTGAATAATGATTAAAGATAAAGTTAAGTGTTCATACTCACTTTCAGGTAAATCCAATGAATCTCTGTCTCTTCCTTACGTAATCTAGTTGACATATAATATGTTTGAAGCACTCTATCATGAATTGTAAATGAAAAAAAAACATTAAAACTGTACACCATCAACATTCACTTGGCGAGTTTTACTAAGATAAATTTTCTTACTTGTTGAAAATCCATTTAATCTCATCACATGGTTTATTGTCCAAGAACAAAACCAACATACTACAGTTTTAAGAAGGCTGGAACAGAGAGTGACCAATGGTACCTGAACATATAAATTTTTTTATGTTTATTAAATTATATGAAACAACTTTATAAATATATAGACATGAATAAAAAATTATTTACCCTTCAATAATCGATGTTAGATAACATGGCGACCTTGTATCTGCTATATAATTTATCACATATGTCATCCTCTAATGTATTGCATTGCTTTTCCCCTACAAAGCTTTCATGCATAGAAATCCAAGTTTT